GAATCTTAGGTTCCAGATGACCAAAACCAAAATAATACCAATATTGTTTGGAATGTTTATACTTTCAAATTTGTAGTAAGGGCAGCTAATATCAATTAATTAGTTAATGTGCTAGTAATATTTATATATTTAATATAGCATTACGGTTTGCACATAAGCACAATTAATTATCTAATAATATTTATTTACAGAGCCGATCAGCCGAAAGGTTGCACAACTACTTCAGGGTTCCTCAAAGAGATGAAAGAAGTTTACCAAGTAGATGTCATTATGATAAAAATATTATCAGAACTCCGCCATCCAGCTATGAAGCACGTTAAATTACATAAGTCATCTGATCATCTCAAGCCCATCCCTGGCCATGGTCGTCCCTAGTCCTTCCACAATATTGAATATAGACATCAGTGACGAAACTTACATTTTCCAGACATGAAATAGAAAAGTGATGAAAACTTTCATGTTGGAGTTATCGGTCTTTTGCATCATTTGGCACCCAGCAAGTAAATACACATGATGATACTTGAGCAGTTATTTAACACAAAATAAGGTATGTCTGTGTATATCAACACTGTATATATACAAGTCCTGTATTCTGCTGGTAACAACACATACACCACAGCTGGCTGGGCGGCTCACACTAGTCAGTAACGTCAACCACCCAGAGCTTTCGCAGTCACGTGACTGTAGCAACTTTAACCTTCATTTTTTTTCACTTTTTGGCTAAATTTATTTAAAAACTTCATTACCATAGTGAACTTAAGCGTTTTTTTCTTTATTGACCTGCCATCTAACGAAAAAATTCCGACCGTCAACTCGTCCATTGTCAAAACTTGTCTTCCCTTGACTAAAACTCGGAACATGAAGGAACAACTCCACAATATCAAACAGTATTACGGAATCCAGGAAAATCAGAAAAAAAGCACGGAAAAACTTAACCTAACCTACGTGCAATGCCATCATATATATATTGTGTTGTCAATGTGTACAAGTCCTGTGAATTTTTTTTCCTCGTGACTTTCCGTTCACCGTACGAGGTACAAGTTATTGCTTCGCTGTAATAAACCAGTCAGTCAGTCAGTTGGTAAGTCAGTCAGTCAGTAAGCAGTCGGCCAGTCAGCCAGCCAGTCAGTAAGTAAGTCAGTCGGTCGGTCAGTAAGTCAGAAAAGTCATTTAAGTCAGTAAAATCCGTCCGCGTAAAACCAAACAATACCTATCACCGAGCCATTTCATTTCAATTGTTTATTCCTTGATAGAGAAGCGGGATCCTAGTGTTGTCACTAAGGTACCCTGTACAATGACACCAGAAGCATCTGGCAAGTGTGACAAGTATATACAGTATAAATATTATAAAGGGGCTTACTAAAGCCTAAGGAAGGGAAGGATATTCTTTAACACATAATCAATGTTATTTACATAGTATCTGGCCAGTATGGGAGATCATCATCGTCGTCGTGGGTTGGTCAGCAGGCGTCACGGAAGCGTTGTGTGTGGGGACATCTTAGGAGGTAGTGGATAAGGGGGGGGTGTCGGGTCTTCTGCATAATGCACAAGAGCGTTGCTCAGGGATGGGGATACCAATCTCCCAAGCAGTCATACCCAATGATACAGGCAGCAATCACTTCCCCTTTCCATAGACGTACGAGAGGTCAGGAAGTTTACGGAGGACACCGTACCAGGTGGGCGGAGTCCAGGATGGCTGCTTCCCGAGCTTTCTGTTTGCAGCGAATTTGGATTCTAAGCTGCAAAGTGTTCGAACAACGTCGCCAGGTGTGGCCTTGTTGCAGCCAGTCTTGGCACCGAGCCATTACAAGAGACTTTCAGTATATTAAATTACAAGATAAAACAGTCATCATAAATACATAAAATAAATACATAACATGAAATACAAAAATTAGTTTTAAATACAAGATACACTTTAGAAAAATATCAAGACTTAATTAGTTAGATAAAATATTCAAGTAACTGAATATCTTGTTCAGTAATAGAGCCATTAAGTTATCAATTACCTATTTATAATATCTTAAGACGTAATAAACAGGGACCTAACCTAACTTAAAAACCAACAGGAACAAATTCTAATCACGAATAGAGTTCAGTAATTATTTTTTTAACTAAAAATATTATTCCATGCTAATAACTTTATAATTAGCCTCACCATATCTATACCAGTAAATGTATATACAATTCAATTATTTATATATACCATCTCACGAGGCTGCATATATTAATTAACTAAACTTATTAAGTATAGGTGTACTTTGGCGGTAGATTCTTATTGCTGGGTTTAATTACACAACTAAATTTGGTTGCAAGTTAATTAACAGGAATAATTTAGGATTTGTCGAATTATTTATTCAGAGGGTTTGCGAGGCAGTGAACGGCCGTACACACACACACCACACGTGCTGGTGTATATTCCATGTGGTAATACTATGAATATACTCCCTCTGGTATCATTAGAATTTTCACTCTTTGATATATTCACCGTTTTAATCGACAAATCTTAATTCCACTGTGGTAATACCAATTAATTTTTATCGAGTAATTCTAAAGTTAACCATTATGGTAATACTATAATATTCGCTTATAATAAATATGCCTTCTGGTAATACCAAATAGTTAGGTTATTAAAGTCAAAGGGTGTCGTTTGGTGGATATGTGTTTAATTAAGATAAGTACACAGCAAATATTTGAATACATACAGCACCATGGCAAATAATTAGCAATAAACATTACCGCATTATACCCATAAATAACAATAATCATAATTTTTTCGTAAAAAAAACAATAGTTCGATAATTTAATATATCCAGTAAAAAAGAAAAGTTACTCTGCCAAGATCTTCTTAGCTCAGTTCAACATACAATGAATTGTCGAAGGAAAAAAAAAATCTTAAGTTACAGAAGAATACCAGGTGACAAGTTTACAAACACTCAAGTACTCGTGTTACAAAGAATCTTCTGTATGTGTTATCAAGTATTATTGTATGCGAGTAGTGTTTAAAAGGATCAGTTTCTTATTGTACGAAGTTTCAAGTCCATCCTCAATTTACTGGGATCACTGCCGACCACCACTAATGAACGTTTAGCCGTCTGCCTCAACAGGAACTATCTTAAACTTTATATAAACCGATCAACTAATACCACACAAGTTACCATATTTTTATTTATGTTTTGGAAACTTAATTTTGAGCACTAATTAAGTGAAATTAGTTCTAACCTCAACAGGTAGTTGGGATACGAAACCAAGGCATTAATATTCAATACGTTTAAATTTTGGTATCATCGTTAATATCTAGATAGTTTGTGTCAAGGTTAACGCTTTAAATAATTTAATATCCATTCATAGTATGGAGATTAGATTGAACCGTTGGAAGCAACATACAGGATCAGGTCTCGATACTACAAATTGGAAGGCTCCGTTTTCCTATAAGTCTGCTCTCGTGTAGAGGAAAAACCTTCAGAACTTTTCCTTCTAATTTTCTGCCAATTTAAACTATTATTGTAGGTCAACAATCTGGTAACAGTTTATTTAAGGTTATATTATGGCATACAGAATCTAACCTTTTAGGTCATCTTAATTAAAATCAGTGATGCAGGTAAGTTTCATTTAACAATTTTTCTTCATTACAAGGTTACATTAATTATTTCCATATCGGGTGGCGGAGGTGATGGTAACGGTGACGAACTCTGTGAAGAAGAGACGATTTCCTGCACCAGCTCTTGATACTGACCACGGGTACTGTGTGCACCTGCGGAAGTGGGAGGCAAGTTTCTGCAGGTAAAAATCTGATCAACTCTATCCCATAGCTATTATATTATTGTCCTCGTTTTATAATTTAAACGCTATAAGAAGTTATTGAGGTGTGCTATTTAAGTTATTCAGGGCTGCTATTTAACTGAAAATAGAGCTATTAAGACATACCAGGCAAGTTAATCAATATGGAGTTCATAGTTGAATGGTGAAGAAGTTTACGTAGATTCTATTAAACCAATTAGAGCTAGCTATAAAGAATCGAGCAATAGAATTAGAAGTTGAAGCAATTGTACTCCCAAGATGTCTTGAACAAACTCCAAAAGAAAGTTTGTTTTGTATAGGAGTTAACTCACAAGAATTTACGAGTTTTTAACCATTTACCTGGTGCATTACAGACACGTGGGTGATGCTTTGCCACAACTCAACAACATTCGTTGTGGTGAAGAAAGACGATTTCAGAGACCATGGTACGTTGGGGTGAACGATGCTGGTAGCAGTCACTAAAGAAACCTGTAAGAGAAGTGACCACAACGTGTTGAAATTTTCCGAGAATGCAAAGACTAAGCAACCTATATTGACTTCAGTATTCAAAGTTACCGACGTAGATTAAAGTCGGTATAAACTATATAAAATCAGCGGGTTTTGCCAAGCGTGAAGTAAAAGTACATAAAAATCTCCTAGTAAGCACGAGTCAGGGTCTTTGGTGAGCACGAGTCCAGGTACAAAGGGTCTCTTAGAAAGAAGATACTCACGGAGTTGTCGTGATCTTTATAACGGAGGTCTTGGTGGATGGGTGGGAGGGCACGAAGCTCCAGTCAGTGGTGGTGGCTGTGAGGGTCTCCGTCACAGTGGTCTGGTCGGTGATCCAGACGTCGGTGGTCGTCTCTCTCAGAGTGTGGGTGATTGTATCCTGTCAGTATGTTATGGTTAACTTATTGTTTGACAAATGAAGGTTTTATGGGACAGCAAATGTGTTGAACAGCTTGCTTTAGTGGTCAATTAAACGTCAGAAACTACCTTGCACGCTTGAATAGTTAAATGGGTTTGTTAAAAGTCAATAACCATATAGTTAAAGAACTGAATTTTTAAATTTTAAGGATTATCACATATGCTTTGAACACCGTTAACCACCATACGAAAACTAATGTTACCGTGGTAAATTACAGGAAGTCAATAACTGGAGCGATACTACAAGACTACATACCGTTACAATCAATGTTACAGTAACTGGGGTGATGGTCCGGGTCGGTGGGTATCGTAGTATTGACAATTAACCTGTAAAAGGTAGGATGGTTTCAAATATGCGGTTTTGGTTATTATGTATAAAAATGAGGTTATAGTGAACGTAAACGTGTATAACATTTGAGATTTTGGTCATTACGAATAAAACTTACTAACTACAGAATGTGGTACCTGGGAAGCCGCCAAAAGGAGCAGGAGTGTAGATACAAAACTTGCCATCTGAGAAGGAATATGCCGCGTATTTATCCAATTACAAGATTTTCGTTCATATATTCTACTACATTGTTACAACTCTAAGCACGAGTAATAATGTAAAAAACAACTTACAATCCACAAAATGAGTTACCTTGTTATTAGTTAAGACTAAATAAGAAATTCGTTTTAACTAAATATAAATTCAAAAATATATTTCTCAGAAAAACTACAACTAATGTCTCACACAACCTCAAATCACAAAACACACTTTAACTAATAATGCCGTTCGCTGTAATGAACACCGGTTGGTCAGAAGTGATGTTGCTGAACTACTGCTGACCTCTACCAGTCAGCCGCGCTATTTAAAGGCCACTTTTGGCGGGAAGCCCGTTCGAATGTAAGACAGAGCCTTGACTTCGTCTTCAGTGACTCACTAATTCTTTTCTAAATATCAATTGTTTATTCGTGATAAAATAATATAAGTGCAACAAAAACACGCATTTATTACAAAATATTAATGATTAATATTTATGAATAAATATTATAAAATAATTAAGAAAATAACTTCAACGTTAGACAGCGACAAGACGTTCGAACACTAATATGGCTGTTATGGTACTGACTGTTGCTTTAGAAGCCCTCTGGTAACCCACGTATTGAATTGTTGTTGTATTTTGTAAGTAAAGTTAGTTATGACGTTGTTGTTATGTAGAGGAGAAAATATTAACATAGAAATAACTAAATAAGAATATTACGTTGATTTATGATGAAGTACAACACACCATTGAATCCAAGAAAAAGTCAGAAAAGGCACGGAAAAACCTAACCTAACCTACAGTACGTGCAATGCCATCACAACATAAGAAAGGAGGAAACTGCAGCGGGCCTATTGGCTCATACTGGGCAGTCCGTTTACACCCAACCCCTATTGCTCATATAAGCATCCAACCTATGTTTGAAGCTATTCAGCGTATTCGAGTTAATGATGATATTTGGTAACTTGTTCCATTCATCCACTCTGTTCCAAACCAGTGTTTACCTATTTCACGCCTAAATCTAAATTTGTCTAATTTAAAACCATTGTTACGAGTTCGCTCCTGGTTGGATAGTTTGAGTACCTTTGTAATGTCCCCTTTGTTTAGCCCTGACTTCCACTTATACACCTCTATCAGGTCGCCCCTCGCTCTACGTCTCTCGAGGGGTGCAAATTAAGATGCTTTAACCTGTCTCTATACTCAAGGTTCCTAATGCCGGGATTAATCTTGTCATTCTCCTCTGAATTCTTTCCAATGATTCTATATCCATTCTGTAACTAACACTCCTTTGTATGAACCCAAGTACTTTATTAGCCTTGTTACGAGCAAAAACACATTGTTTACTTGGCTTAAGGTTCCTACTTATCATTACTCCTAAATCTCTCTAGCAGTCGGATTTCTCTATGGCATCGTTGTTCATCTGGTATCTGGTTTCCCTGTTTACATCTCCTATACTGAGTGCTTTATTTGTCCAAGTTGAATCTCATCTGCCATTTTTCAGAACATTCGAAAAATTTGTTTAGATCTTCCTGTAGTTTGCTGAGTCTCGTCAGATTTAATAACACGTCCTATTTTAGAGTCATCAGCAAATTTACTTATGTTGCTGTCTATGCCGATATCTATGTCGTTTATGTATAATAAATAATAATGGTCAAGTACTGAGCCTTGGGGAACTCCACTTGTGACGTTGCTCAATGGGACTTAGTGCCGTTAATGCTCACTCGCTGTTTCTGTCCTGTAACCACGCCCTAATCCATTTAAGGATGTTACCTTTGATGCCATGAGCTTCTACCTTTCTAATTAGTCTTTCGTGGGGGACTCTGTCGAAGGCTTTGCTAAAGTCGAGATATACCACATCATAATTAGTGCCCCTCGTCCATCGATTCGAAAACTGATGAAAAAGAATGTTAATAGATTAGTTAAACAAGAACGTCCGCTTGTGAAGCCATGCTGAGAATCATTGATCAATCTGTGCTTCTCCAGGTGATTTCGAATAGTTTGAAATGATTGCTTCCAGTAATTTGCCTACTATTGATGTTAGACTGATTGGGCGATAGTTAGAGGATAATGATCTATCCCCTTCTTGAAAATCGAGTATTACATTCGCTATCCTCCAGGATTCTGGTACTACACCTGTTTTTAAGGACATGTTAAACAACAGCTAAGGGCATACTAAGCTCTTCCTTACATTCCTTTAATACTCTGGTAAATATCTCATCGGGACCTGGTGACTTATTAGGCTTTAGTTTCTCTATTTGCTTACTAACATCGTTACTAGTCACTACTATCTCGCTTAATTTGTTTTCTTCACTATCTCTGAATATATATATATATATATATATATATATATATATATATATATATATATATATATATATATATCATGTATATCCACAATAACGTGGATAAGATAAATCTTGATAAAATCATACCGGGAAGGGAAACAATGGAGCACCTTAGTTTTTCGTCTTTATTTTCAAGACATCTTCAGGGCAACTGAATTACTTAGACAGAGAGGCTAAGTACACAGAGTGACCTTACTAAACATGAGGTCAGGTCATAAACATGACATCCACCAATCCGGACACCAACACCACTACACGCAGAGGAGCTTAAAAGAAAGGGCGACGTGACTAGTCAAAGTTAAGTCAGGTAAAAATATGGGACCTACTAATCATCTATCCTATATTTACCTTCAATGCTTTAAAAGCATTTTTTAACCTTGGGCCACTGACAAATAAATTTGTGTAACATATTATCAGTTTTGTACTGACCATCATTAGGTTTATAGAATTCAATTCCTAATCAAACTAGCTTCAACCAGAAGTCTGTCTGTGACACATGATGATTTGTACACCTCTAAGCTGTTTTCCCAATCCATGGGATGATTATTGTTCCTAACATGAACGAACAGTGCACTGTGCACTGGGCACTACATTTTACTTTAATTTGTTTTCTCTTGTCATCTATTGTTTTATTTATTCATTTGTTTTATATCTCTTTATTCTCGTTTTCATGTCCCCAGTACAAAGAATAACTGAAGTACTGTACGTCAGACTAGAGTGTGTACCTCAGTCATATGAATTCGACTCGTAAACGACACATGTATTATGATACGTGCCGCTATTGGGTGTCATTAATTTTTCTTCAACTGCCTGTGATTAGAACCAGCCTAACTGCTTATTAGTGGCGTGGGACGAGAACCTGCACTGACCTTCACACGCTACTTTATGCTGCCTCGATCGATTAAACATATTGCAGGGGTAATTTTTTATTGTTTGGAGTCGACATGGAAAGGACCTGTGAGTTTGTACGCTGTGAGTTGTGTTCAATTAATTATCAGTCTTTTTTAGTCCTGTCTCATGCGCGCACACACGCACGCATACGGATACACTCACCACGCCCGAGAATCTACTTTCACGCGCGCTCACATAAAACACACACACGTGCACACACACACACACACACACACACATGAACACAAGAACATATAATAAAAATAATAACAATAATAATAATAATTAACGATTTATTGACAAAGTTTTGCAGGCCGAAGGCTGAAAAATACATTAGACAAAATGACTTAATACATACAAAGACATAAGAACATAAGAAAATAAGGAGTCTGCAATAGGCCGGTTGGCCTGTGCATGGGTGAGTCGTTTAACAAAAGCTTTCATTACTAAAGGTGTTGATAAAGGACCTCACGTTGTCATG